CACATCCCCTCCATCCCTCTCCTCCATCCCACCACCCTCACATCCCCTCCATCCCTCTCCTCCATCCCACCCCCCACCACACCCACCCCCAGCTCTGGACCACCCCCGGGAGCTCCACCACGGGCTGGCAGCCTCGTGCATCTCCTGACACCAGCGGTGCCTTTCTCTGTGTCTCTGCCAGGGGCTGAAGAAGCCCAACATCGAGGAGATCCGTCACGCCAAGAACGCTGTCTTCAACCCCTCCATGTTTGGCAGCTCCTTGCAGGACATCGTGGCGCTGCAGAAGGAGCGATACCCCGACGGCAGCTGCCCTGGGGGCAGACCCGCCTCTCTGAGGAGGTCCTGGCCCTCAACGGGGACCAAACCGAGGGCATCTTCAGGTAAAGGCACCTCCTGGCCCACCAAGGGGGGGGTGGCAAACCTGGGATTGCTCGTGGTGGGAGCCACGAGTCACCTTGTCCCCTTTCTCCGTGTCCCCATGGACACCTTTCTCCTCCCCGTGGAACTGACCTCAAACTTCTCCTGATAGAGGAAGCCACGAGTCACCTTGTCCCCTTCTCCATGTCCCCATGGGCACCTTTCTCCTCCCCGTGGAACTGACCTCAAACTTCTCCTGATAGAGGAAGCCACGAGTCACCTTGTCCCCTTCTCCATGTCCCCATGGGCACCTTTCTCCTCCCCGTGGAACTGACCTCAAACTTCTCCTGATAGAGGAAGCCACGAGTCACCTTGTCCCCTTCTCCATGTCCCCATGGGCACCTTTCTCCTCCCATGGGGAAGTGCCCAAACTTCTCCTCACTCTAAGTCCATGGGGGGGTCTCCATGAGGTGGGGGTGTCCATTCTGGTGCCCACCAGAGTCTCCTGGAGCTCTTGGGGTCTGCACACAGCAGGATGTCACCCCCCTTTTGGGCAGCACCAGTTGCCCACCCCAGCACCACCTCCACTCGCTGCCCACCCAACGCTTCCCCTCCAGACCCACACTCAACCCCCCCCAAACCCCACGGAGCCCGGGGTGGGGTGGCAGGCAAGGTGGGTCCCCCCACCACGACCCCCTCTTCTCTCCCAGGGTCCCAGGTGACATCGACGAGGTGAACGCCCTGAAGCTGCAGGTGGACCAGTGGAAGATCCCCACGGGGCTGGAGGATCCCCACGTTCCCGGTAGGACCTCACGGTCAGAATCACCCCCTTCCACCATCCAAAAAAAAGGTATTTTAAGACCTTCTGGTGTCCTCCCCTCACCCCCAGCCTCCTTGCTGAAGCTGTGGTACCGGGAGCTGGAGGAACCCCTGATCCCCCACGAGTTCTACGAGCAGTGCATCACCCACTACGAGAACCCCGAGGCGGCCGTCGCCGTCGTCCACTCCCTGCCCAGGATCAACAAGATGGTGCTGTGCTACCTCATCCGCTTCCTGCAGGTACAGCTGGGACCCCCCCTGGGCCCCCTCCACACCTGGGGGCTCCTCTTGGGGTGGTTTGGGGGTGTTTTCGGGGGGTTCCCAACGGTGGGAGGTGCCCAACGTGGGGATTCTGTCTTGGGCGGAAACTGGGAAGGGCTCCCAGCTCCTCCCCACGGTTCATCCAGGTGGTTCCTCCACCTGGATCCTCCAGCTGGATCCTCCACGTGGTTCTTCCCTGTGGTTCCTCCACCTGGATCCTCCACGTGGTTCTTCCCTGTGGTTCCTCCACCTGGATCCTCCACCTGGATCCTCCAGCTGGATCCTCCACGTGGTTCTTCCCTGTGGTTCCTCCACCTGGATCCTCCACGTGGTTCTTCCCTGTGGTTCCTCCACCTGGATCCTCCACGTGGTTCTTCCCTGTGGTTCCTCCACCTGGATCCTCCACGTGGTTCTTCCCTGTGGTTCCTCCACCTGGATCCTCCACGTGGTTCTTCCCTGTGGTTCCTCCACCTGGATCCTCCACGTGGTTCTTCCCTGTGGTTCCTCCACCTGGATCCTCCACGTGGTTCTTCCCTGTGGTTCCTCCACCTGGATCCTCCACGTGGTTCTTCCCTGTGGTTCCTCCACCTGGATCCTCCACGTGGTTCTTCCCTGTGGTTCCTCCACCTGGATCCTCCACCTGGATCCTCCAGCTGGATCCTCCACGTGGTTCTTCCCTGTGGTTCCTCCACCTGGATCCTCCACCTGGATCCTCCAGCTGGATCCTCCACGTGGTTCTTCCCTGTGGTTCCTCCACCTGGATCCTCCACCTGGATCCTCCAGCTGGATCCTCCACGTGGTTCCTCCATGTGGTTCATCCAGGTGGTTCCTCCACCTGGATCCTCCACCTGGATCCTCCAC